TCCAGATCATTTATGGCTTGTTTCCCTGACAGAGCTGGTATAAACTTCAGACGTATCATCTCATCCAGTGCAATCAGATGGTCAGGAGGGACATCACAGGATCTAAAAAAATAAGTCCATCGGCTGAACAGGCCATGAGTAAAGGCAGCATACGCTGCCTGGGGCTGGGACTCAGCAAATGTACACAGAGCCTTCAAATCTAACAACCACTTATCAACAGTATCCTTAATAAATCCATCAACAAAAGACTTTGAACCAATAGGGGAGCCAAGTAATCTCACACCGTCTGTTCTCACCACAATACCAGAACCTTCAAAAACCTTACTAGCTCTCTCATAAGACTCCTCCTTCACTAGCAAAACAGACTTGGATGCATTCGGAAAATAACCATAATGCTTGCCTATAGTAGCAATACCATCCCACCACTTCCTTAACTGGTTCAGACTACCTAGAGCAGATGCATCATCAGCATACCAGAGCTGATACACTGTTGCTACATCATCAAGTTCCTCAATCAGTGGGACAGATGCCACAGCATACAGGCTATAGCCGATGGTTTTTTTGCAAAAAATGGCTCCGAAATCACACCAAATTTTTATTACATTTTCTGATACATATTGATGTCCTTATGCTGTGTAGCAAGTTTGAGCTGATTCCAACTTCAATTTTTCAAGTTACGGCCAATTTAGTAAAATCCCAAAATTCTAAAAATTACCCAAGGCTATAGCCTATGGTTTTTCTGAAAAATGGCTCCGAAAACACCACAAATTTTTATTACATTTTCTGATACATATTGATGTCCTTATGCTGTATAGAAAGTTTGAGGTGATTCCGTCTTCAATTTTTCAAGTTACGACCATTTTAATAAAATTGCAAAATTCTGGAAAATACCCAAGGCTATGGTAAATGTACTATAGCTCGTGGCTTTTCCAAAACATGGCTCCAAAATTACCACCAATTTTTATTACATTTTTGATACTACATACATGTATGTTTTAAACCTCTATAACTACATGTAGATTGGTTCCTCTAATAAATCAAATGTCATCTTATTTTTGGTAGAAATTAGATGAAGATGTTGCTCACTGCAAGGATCAGTTACAAGAACTTAAAGCTCGTACCGGACTACTTAATAAATACATTAAAAAACAATCAGACGTAAGTAATAATACATACAATAATTTATTTGTCCAAGCAAAATTTTTATCTAAAATTTTGGAAAGAATTATTACATATACTTTTCTTATCAATCCAGTTGCATGCATGCACCCACACATGCACGCATATTAATGAGTTGATTATTATTGTTTTTTTCAAAAGGTCAAAGTTCAGTGCAGTCAGAGACAGCAGCAGAATAAAGAGTCTGATCTTTATAATGAGAGAGAGAGACTGAAACAAGAACTAGCAGAAGAGAAGAGAGCACATGCTGAGATTGAAAACTACCTCAAGAAACACATTGAAGTAAAATTAATGATAATAATAATAATAAAATAATAATAAATGTACCAGTACATGTACATGTATGTGTACCAGTACATGTCTAGATTATTGTAAAAATAGAATCCATTGATTAATGAACTCTAATCTCCACATTATTTATATTTATAATTATATTTTTTAAAATAAATATTATAATATTTGCACCTACACGTACATGTACATGAGCATACGTAAATGTCATTATTATTATTATTGTTGTTGTTGTTATTGTTTAGGATCTTGATAGTAAGGTTGAGTACTGGATGTCAAAGTATGAAGAAGACTTGGAAATGAAGACCACTGAAGTACAAGAGACTAAGTCAGCCAAAGCAGCAGGACTACAGAAACTGGACGAACTATCACAAACTGTAAATAAAATAAGATAAATATGTAATATTGTAAATATTAGCATTTACTGTATTTGTGTTAATTAACTTAAATGTACACAATACTGTTAATTGTGTGTACATGTACATGTAAAATTTTGGA